AAAATGAAATGTGCCTTAAAATTAAGGTGAAAACGAATTGCAACGTTTTCGATAAGAATGCATAACATTTTACAGATGTTCGTGGTATTTCTAAGCAAATAGTTTCCATACCTTAATGATCATCAAACTAGCGTATGCTTTTATTTATTAGCCTTTCACTCTTTCTCTTTTTCTTTCTGCTCGTGAGACTCTCTAAAGACCCACTCGGAAAATACTTGTTTTCCCTCCAGTTGGCTCTGAGCTTGTCTGATTCATACACTGAACTACCCAGGGAAGAAACGGTCCCCCAGCTAGACACGCTTTCAGCGCCTTCCTGTGCAGATAACGCTGCTGCGTTTGCCTCCGGAGGGGCATGCCATGCCTGTTTCATGTGTTAAGAATGTTGTCTGGGGTCACTGATCTGGACACCTGAGGGAGCATGTGATCGTCGCATAAAGGGTCGGAGAAGAGCCCTGTGTGGTCCCTGGGGCCGCCCCCTTTTCCCACCAGGCACCTTGTCAGGATGAATGAAGACGCCTCCCCTGGCTGGGCAGCCCTGCAGGGCTCGGATGCCTCTTGGGCGCCTCAGCGCACCAAGTAAAGAGCCCTGCTGAGTAGACGTGCTGCCTGCAACGTGGGGGACGTGAACAGGTAGTACAAGACACAGGCGAAGAGTAACTTAACGGAGTCTCTAGGTCACACCTGTTACTTCCTGTCTGGCTGTGTCTTACACAGTTACTTGCTTTAATTAAATACCTGATGTCCTCTTCCTGAAATGGTAGGGCGTGTTGGCCATAGCGCTTAAGTGTCTCACTGGCTACTTATGTTGTTGAATATCAGCGTGGGTCTAGGTAAAGTCAGAGAAGGCGGGGACATTCCCGAGGTGTCCAGGGCTCTTGGCCAAGGGACGAGGTTGTGTCTGTCTCCCTTCCAGAAGCCGTTAGGCACGTTTCTGCTGTATGCGAAATTACTAGAACACGTTTGGTGGTGGATAATACTGAAAATGTGTGTATGAAGACACGGGTTTTCCGGAGAGCAGAGAGGCAAGGAGTTTGACAGGCGTGTTTGTTTTGAATAGCTGTTATCCATTCACCCATCGCGCTCTCTTGACTAGAGCATCCTGGCTTCTTTTAGGGGGACGACAGGCTGAGACAGCCCCCTTAACCTTCATGGTATCCCAAGGATGCGAATGCATAACCTAAATGAGGGCAGTTGGCTCTCTCTTTAGGGACTTTGGATATTGAACAGTAAATAGAGAAAGAAGGGCTGCCGTGGACTCATGGCAGTAGTGGTACCCAAGTGAAGCAGTCCACCAGCGCCTGCCGCCTGCATCTTAGAGATGCCTTCCTTGTCACGGGTTGGGTCTCATTCTCTCTGACCTTGTTTTTGTTTGTTTTTATTTAAGAAAAAAACTTTTTATCCCCTTAAGTTAGCTAGCACTGGTTTGTTCCCGGGGGACCAATACTCCAAAATTGACAGTGCCCATCACCGATTTCAAAGAATCACAGTTAGTGAATATGAATGACTTCCAATCTGTTTTCAGTCTGGTTGAAAACACTGGACTGTCCCTTTTCTGTTTGTACATTTTTCATCATCAAGGGGGCCCAGTGCAGAATATTCTTCTTATAAAACTTGTATTTATAATGGGGATTGCATGAATAACTGTGAAGGTTTAAGATGAAAATTAGACCGCTTAGTAAGTACAGATTCTTCCAACAAATGACTCAAAACAATAGACGCCGAGGAGATGTCTTCCACACTGTAGGGTTCATTTCGCGTGGGGAACCAGCTGCAGTGATGGGCACTATTAGTATTCCTGTCTCCGAGTCCCCCCGGTGGAATGCGGTAGGGCTGGCTCTGCATTCAGTCAGAGGCAGAATAACAGGCCTTCTAGTAACAGGACGGATAGGAACGATTACGGGCAAACTCACTGCGACACATTGTAAATGAGGCCATAGTGGTCGAGACCAAAACTGATGGGGCCGTCACCTCGGGTAGAAATTGAATCCGAAAGTCCCCGTGTGGGCATACATCAGCACGTTGTCAAGAATTAAATGAAGAGATGGATGATTGATTAAGTTTGTCAATAGCCTGTGACGGCTGACTTCTCTGCAAACCGATTTAATGACTGCTAAGTGAGTGGACTTGACTGGTAAGTGTGACTGTTCCGTACTGGGGTATTTTACTGGCTGTTTTTATCTTTTATCTTCCTCCTTCCCAATGTTCTGAACGTTAGGCCTTTAGGAGTTGCTCACTGAATGCGAACAGGACGAACAGAAAACGTAGGCGCTGGTGAGAAAGCCCAGTAAACGATCATTCTTGGAGGTCGCCGCTTACAACCTGGGCTCTACACCAGCTTTCTTTGGGGGATGAGTTAACAGTTGCGCCAGAAAAACCTACAGTCCTCAACTTGTCAGCTCTTCCTTTATGACGAAGGATCGGAGAGAAAATTCCAAAAAACTGCCTGGGTCACCATCAGAAGAAACAGGGATTGAAATCTAAGAAAAACAGAACGTTAAATGTTTCAGCTGCTCTTGAGTGTAGGGCCCCTGGGTCATCTCCAAGAAATGCTTGCCCAAAGGCAATGAAATAACCAGCTGAAAGCGTCCAAGGGAAAAGCCCAGCAGACTGTGTATTCGGATTGCTGGCTACTGAATCAGTGGGTTATGATTCGTGGCCCGTGGAGGTGCTTTGTGTTGGGGCTCACAACCTTAGAACATATGTTCTCCCATAGTCAGCATTCTTCAACTCCACGGATGAAGCTGTTTCTGTGGCTCTGCTGGTTAATAATTCACGTCTTTCCCAGAAGGAACAGTTCAGGTCAATTAAGAAACAAAAACAAAAACCTGTGATCAGGCATGTGTCCACTTAAGAAAACTAATCTAGGCTGATACTTATTCCCTCTTTCCATTTTGTAGCTGTTTAGGGTTAAATCTAAAACTTCCTCAGATTCTTGCGCCGTGAAAACTAACGTCTCATCGTCTGGTATTTTATTTTTAGCTACAATACCCACGACTCCAGTGAGCTATGAATCAATTTGTTTGCATTTCCTCAAATTGACAGCCCTGTCTTGATTAATGTCTAGGGTATCCATTTTCTTTAGAGTGTACCTGTCAAACTTTCAGGTTTGTATGAATCATCTGAAGAAGTCTTTAAAATGCAGATTCTAAATCAGTAGTTCTGGCGCCTGGCCTGAGATTGGGTGTTTCACACGAGACCCCAGGTGACGTTGCTTCAGTCCCTTGGAGTAGCAGGCTTAGGTCTTTTTCTGCAAAGCACCATACAGTAAACATTTCAGGCTTTATGACCCAGAAGCAGCCAGAGACAATGCAGAAGCAAACATGGCTGTATTTCAGTCAGGTTTTCACAGAATTTTCACGTGTCACAAAATATTCTTTTTAATTTCTCCCAAACGTTTGAAAATGCAAAGAAAAAAGAATTTAAATCCTCAGTTCATGCAGTGTATAAAAGCAAACACTGGGCCAGGTTTGGCCTGGGGCCATCATCCGCGGATGTCTGTTTTACGGCAGCGTTGGGTCTTAGATTGAGTTGTCAGCAAGACACGGAACAAGCCTAAATAAGGAAGATGGCTTTCTGAGCCATCTGCAGCTGGGACTTGTTCAGAGGAGTTCTCTGAAGGAGCAAAGGCAGGGAAACATTTCATGGACATTTAAAAAGTAATTATCCTGGTGATCTGTCCTGGGAGAGTAGATAGTGTGGCACATTAGAATTTCCACATATTTATCTTAACTCCTAGGAATTATGTTTAGATTAGGTGTCAATGACCTGTTGAATTGTTGTGTATTTAATATTATGGTGCAGTCAGTGGGATGTATCAAACGCAGATAGCAAGGTTTAATAGAAATTAGTCATCGTCTAGTTATGGTGCGATGGGAGCTTTAGGACTTGACGGTGGTTCCTCCTCGCGCCGTATTTCCATGCGTCCGTGCTGCCGCTGCTATGACAGAATTAAACGTTGCATCCATCCTTATGTTAATGTTTTATCTCAGGCAGTGTACTTGGCTTGGGGACATCAGAAGGTCCCTGGTGTCCTGACAGTCTCCAACCCTGAAGATGTAGCCCTGTGAGCAGACCACGCCAGATTTCATTCCCTTGGCCTTGACTGTGAAACACCCTAGCTTTTCTCCCAAATGTAGCCGCGGAGAAGGGTGGCTTAATCCTGGAGGAGTAGAATCTATGGCAATTACAGTCTTGGAATCCAGCAGAGAGAATGCGACTTCATCACATCTCACAGCATAGACTGAAAGTTGTAGCTGCATTAAAAATACTGCTAAGAAAATGTGTCGAAATGTCACGTTGACCATGCCCATCTGTTGTAAGACATGTGCTAGTTTCACATGCGGTGCTTAGAATCAACGAAATACAGCGTTTAAATCTCAGGTGCGTACTTAGGTGAGACCCGCGTATTTCCACATTCATATCAGATGATGGTAATGATAAAACTAAATTTGGCTAGAAATGATTTTTATTTTCATTTGCTTTCTTTCCTTCTCATAAATTATTTTCTGATGAGTAAACGGAATCTCTCAGACACATGGCACGTCTTACCTGAGGTTACTCAGATTCCGCGTTAGTGAGGGAATTCTAGCTGCTAAAACTAATCCAAACACGTGTGATGACCGCACATGTGATGGAAGTTCTTTCCTCAGTCCTGTAAAGATCACCACTGGTATTTCCCAAACAGGAATCTGGGACCCATGGCCCTTGCTTCTTAGGGAAACATGGTCGTCCATGTGGAGTTTCCAAGTTCTCCATGCCGTGGCTTCAAGCGAGGGGAAGTGGAAAGAGTGTGGGGAGGCTCACGTGGAAGGTTGTCATGGTGTCACGTGACAGTTCGTGGACACTCCTTCCCCTGGGGCCCAGTCATGTGACCACCCCCCCGCCCCGAAGGAGGAGTTGGGACATGGGTCTCACCTTCTACCAAGAGAAGGGTTACTTACTGCTGAAGCTAGGCTCCTTGAGGGTTCTTTCCTCCCTAAC